CATAACATAATACATAATTATACTGTTTGATCGTTATTACACGGAAGGATGACTACACGTCCATCGGAAGCGGACGGTAATTTCCTCTTCCAACGGTTCTTAGTTCAAGTCGCTACGGCACTTATGAATAAAGTTATTGACCATAAGATGGGGATTCTACTTTCTGAAATTAGCCCTCTATGCATGTATCTATATGTTATTTCTACATAATATTACATTCCTATCTGTGTTAGCATTACACATTTATATTATTATAATTAGAACGATAGGAAATTAGTTTCAATAAGAACTTTTCACAAATTAGAGAGTCTCGCAGATCTTGTGAGATTGACGATCTTAAGACTGAGCGCAGCGAATGCAGCTCGCTATCCCCACTCCGTGGCTCACAGATACGCATCACTCTCCGGCCATATGCAGCTGCAGCCACGTGGTCGTCCATCTCATTTTAGAAGAGGATAGCATTATGATGATGAAACGTAGTATGCCGGCGCAATAGTAGATGGCACGCTCGGTCTGACGCTAACGCCAAACCTGACATCGATGCCCCGCGACTTTAAACAGCTATAACTCCGCGCAAACAAGTCGACATAGCAACATTAAATAAAAAGTAATCTCTTTGACAGGCACTTATGCTGCTCTTTCGTTACTTTGGAAAAGTATTTGGAAAAGTCGACTATTGTGGTTGGTTAAAGCATACTTTGACGAGTACTATTCATCAAATACGCTCACACGAACAATACGCAACTTCTTTCATTTGCAATCGAATTGTTCAAATTCTTTTTTTCGTCTCGTTTATTATAATAGTGACTGCAAATTAATATTGTTACTATGAATCGAAATAAAAGAATAATTATCGTGATTATTTGCAAAGTGGGATTTTGCCATTTATTTTAACAAGCTCTATCTACATACGAGTGGTTGGACACCAAAATCCGGACACCCTATATATCTAACGACGAACAGCATAATAAGGTTTTAAGAGGATAAAGTTTTTAGACGGTAGCATAAAACGCTCTATACACAAGCGAGCAAATTCCAATATCAATTCAAATTTTAATTAAAATTTAAATGTGCACGAAAAGAAAAAGGAAGCGTGCGGCAAAAATAGAGAGAGGGTGTGCGAGAGAAAAAAGAAACGGAGGAAGGAAATTTTGAGGGTGGAGAATCGGGCGAAGGTAAACAGGCGCTATAACACATTCGCGCGCACACAATCGCAGGTGTACATAGATGCGCGTGTGTTACACATGTGCTTGCGAGAGCTTTGATAAATGCTGCTTTTCTTGGCTCGCCGCCAAATAGCACGCCAATGTATCTCATCGCTCGTGTATTCCTCATCGTGCCTTTCGAGTTGGGACACACTCATCGGGGTGTATTAAACCCTTACAATCGATAAATACATCGGTCAGTTATTAAAAGCGCACTACACGACCAGTCAATTGTACCATTGTAGCACTTCAATTATCTAACCCCTCTGTCGTTCTTTTATGTACCTTTTATTTGCACGTTTATATATATTTTCTATATTTTTGTATATTTTTTAAATTTATACGTGTTTATTTTAATTGTAATATTTTATCAATTAGAGAGACTTTATATGTAACGGGAGGCTTATGTAATTATTAGAGAAATTTTTCCAGTAATCACTTTACTCGTAAACTTTCATGATATACGATCTCCACGATGACAGTTGTTTAACTACATCACGAAGGAAGCGCAATGCTTTGCAAGAAAACCAATCAGCGTCGCGGAAAATAAGCAATTATAAACTTCGTTTCTTACTAGAAAAACTTACTACTTCGATAATTTTGACGAAATTTTAATACTTTTCAATTTCGACTTTATATGCCTTTTTATACATATGAAAAAGAAGGATTTAATATTATACTCGATATAAATATTATATATATATATATATATGATATAAATTATAAATTATTATGTAATTGTTATTATTAAAACACAAATTATTACATTATTTATGCTACAATATTGAGCATAAATTAATTTAATTAAATTAATTGGACAAAGGCCAATTATACAATATTCTCTGGAACTTAGCGAATTTTTATTAAAATATATCGAAGACAATTTGAATCGCAGAATGTTAATTAGCAACAAAAGTTGAAGGAAAAGAGACGCAGCGAGATCTCGTTATCTATAGGGCTAACGATAACTATACTTGGAAACTTACTGATGATTCGTAACGCTACCGTAACGAACCAATCGTTAAATATTGGTCACAAACAGAATTTCTCCGGCGGAAAGATCGGTTTTCAATTAATTGATGATCCAACTTTGCGGAGAATTCCGTAAATTATTTGCAGTGCGCTAACTTAGTCCCGTGGAGTGTGAAGGGTTAAACTTCGCTCGACTTCTCTCTTCCGACTTCAACCGGGAAAATAATTAAGCGCTCTTTCATCACGATCATTACTTAGAGTCGTTCATTCATCATTCAGTCTCGCATCGAATGCCTTCATCGTCGCCGATGAACTCCGTCCGCATCAGCTTTCGTCGCCGACGAGTTTCACGTGCCTCGCGAATTTCCAACAGATCGGAGAAAGTGTTCTCAAGGACGAGGTGCTCCCCCGCAGTCATACGCAGCACCTTTCGATAAACATCGCTTTCTTGACGCAACGCGTAATTTTGATATCCATCAAATCCCACGTTGTGTCCCGCATTGTGTCCCGCTCTTTTACGCGTGTAAGCTAGACTTATCGACTCTTATTTAGCCACCCCTTCGGCTCTATTCAACCACTCAGCATGAACCTCTGTGCTCGCCTTCAGAATGCCACGCGGTAAATGAGTCTCGCTGTTACAGTGCTGCTCGATCAATGTGTCGAGAAGCCGACAATGGAGGCGACGGATCCTATCTGCCTGATCGAAAGTACCCTCCAGCCCCGGTAGAAGTCCCTTCCCAACTCCGTAAAAATCACTTTCCCTTTTTCGCAAGCGGCCCACGTAACGACGCGGAGGAGGTGGCGGCGACGGCGGCTGCCGCCCTACCTTCCTCGCCTTCGTTATACCGGGCACGTGTGCCCGGGCACTTCCCGGCACACCTACGTGCCTCTTATGAAGAATCCTGCCACAATGGAGGAAGGGACGGAGATTCCGATACGAATTTCCGGCGTTCCGGCGCCGATATCGAATATACCAGTTCGAGAAACGAGGAATTTCGGCCGCGAAATTTCCCACCTCGCGCACCCTCCCGCCAAAACGCAAATGAGGGTCGGAGGTATTTCACGTCGTTATTGATATGAGGAATCCGGGGATCCATATCGATCTTCTCTGCCTTCCTTCTCCCCCCCCCTCCTTTCTCCATCGTTTCTCTTCCCCGCCGGGTGAAACCTTTCGCAACCCTCCCGTTGCCTGTAACTGCCTTGAGCGAGATTATCGATGAAACTGAAAGAAGTGGTATCTTAGCCAGAACGCGAAACTTTCCCCATTCTTTTTCTCCCACGAAATGGTATAAGGAGTATGAATTTGTAAAATACTAATTAGAGTTCGATCAATTAATTTTTAACAAAAGGCGTTTTATCTTTCCTTTTTAAAAATACAAGGAATCTGAAGTATCAAATCTTACGTTCGGCTATTGTATTAGCTTCCTCCGGTTATTACTTATTTGCCGAATTTTTTTGATGAAACTTTTGGTTAAGCTACTTGAGTTTACGTTTTTTATCTGTTAAGTCTCTTCGCGAGTCAATTTACTCACGCCAATTTACTCACAGCGATCGATCGACGCATTGAACTGGGTTGCTATAATATCCCGAACGTTGGCCACACACGAATAACTAACGAGCGCTTCTTGGTAGAAGCAGCGCATGAACTTCTCTTCTAAATGCGATTTGCATGGTTAATACAACAAGTCTGTGTCATGACGCTTTAAATATTAAATGTCACGGACAGAGATGCGCCGGCGATAAAGAGACGACATGTATACAGGCGACAAAAGCGAAGTTACGCGACTCGCTGTCGCGAGGACAGCAGCTAAGAACGACGTTCCTCTTCGCATTCTGGGCATAGGCGAGTCTTCGTGGCAGTGACGGCGACACAAAGCCACGCGCTGTCTCGGCTCGCTCTCTCGGAATAAACGAATAAAACCGTTTCCACGGCGATTAATTCGCCGGTTCCGGTATTATTCGCGCTCGCAACGGCCGAGATATTTTGTAACTCTCCTCCTGTAGGAAAACAAGGAAACCTCTGCCGCGCTTTTATCACCGGTTGCCGCTGGCTACGAAACCGATGACAACCGGTTATCGAAGTCCGCTCGGCGAATATTTTGCGACTGGCTTGCATTTGCGGACTAATTCGGCCAATTACTGTGAACATCGTGACAACGTTATACAATCCCGATAGATTTGGGGGATAGTCGCGTTGGGTGAAACCACTTTCACGATATCGTTGAGTCAACCCGAGTCGAAATTTTAGTCCTACTTTCAACCTGAACTTTCTAACTTATATTCTATGTTCTGTTCTATTCTTCTATGTCCTGAAGGATCAGTGTATGTTTCACAGACATGAAAGCTGAGGTACTTAACGCCTGTAAATGCCAGAAAACACACAAAATGCCACTTGCAAGTTCTAAAGAGAGTCTCTCGGCTAAGTTGGATTAAATAGGATTATGAGAGATTGATAGACTTCAGAATATCAAAGTAAGCGTTGAATAGAATATTGAAGTCGAAAGTAGGATCAATACTAGGAAAATAGAATCGACCCGATTAGTTATTGATTAACTTCTTTTAATGGAACGAAGAACGGATTACTCGCGGATAATATTTGATTTAGCATTATGTTGTATTCTCGCGCCCAAAGCGATACATATTCTATACCGCGCACATGAGATATTTGCCGAAGAGCGATAACGAGCAGGATGGTTTTCGCGCTTGGCTCAACTCGCCGTGTTCGCCTTGTTAGCCAATGAAAATCGATATTTAGTTATTCACACGAACGAATAATATATTCCAATATATATCGTAACAATATTCTGTATTTCTTCTTTGCAGATGATCGACGCCTCTTATCACACGAATCCATCGTTGCAAAGCACTGCCCTGATCATCACCTGCGCAGTGGTCCTTCTGCTGATGGCTGCGATCGTGTCCGTCGTCTTCTGGAAGTGAGTAAATCACCTTTTCTCATTGCGTTTTCGCAGACTTAAATGTGCTTAGCGTGGAACAGGACACGTGAAAGTCCCTGCGAGGTCGTCGTGCCATCAGTGGTCGGCTCCGGCAATAAAGCGTCAGTTTCATTTCAACCAAGACGTCGTAAGACGTCCGGGGTTCGAGGTCGTCCGGTTGTAACCGTATTTCAAGGATTCGAGAAGCTGGCCGTCCGAGGCTCTCTTTACAAGCCGGGAAAAGAAAAAGAAACGTAGGGGTGTAAAGTAAGGACGATGGCTAGCGAGAAAGCGTCAAGTGTTACCTGTCGCTCCTAAATTAGCCAAAAATAGGACAGCGGGCGACGGAGAAGCGAGTGCTTTAGCGTCTAAGCGTGTTTCCGACAGCGACCCCGGTCGTCCTGGTTCCTCCTACCAGACGATGATCTACGACGCGGTGTGCCTTCCCACCGAGGGAGTCCTCGATCTCTACAGGGAATACGTTACCTCGCGGATATTGTAGTCGATGATTAAAGCAGTAAGATGCTCATCGATATTCTAGTATTCTCTCTGCGAAATCGTACTCATTTTTAATTGACAGCGCGATAATATGAGCAGAATATCATGACACGTGGAACAGGATAAAATACCCAATTATTGATCCTCTTTAATCACTGACACTCTTGGAAAAACCTAATTTTCCTTGAGATCAGCGGCGATTGTTTACAGTTTTAGTTGCAGAAGAATAGAATTCTCTGTTCAAGTTATATAAATTCTGGTAACTTCAACCAGAATTTTTTATTTGTTCATATTTCATCAGACATTTGCTTAATCCAAACAAATCCTTTTCTCCGTGTGAAGTTCTCATTAGGAATAATTGAGTACAGGTAAGAAGTTGAGCTGCAATGTTGGTCGCATAAAGAAGCAAGTTCTCTTCTAGGCTGTCAATGAAATTAAAGGAATAATCGGCAAAAGTCGAAAATTGGCAAAAGAGCACGGCTTTTTATTCCACTTTTTATAAGCGGTAGCGAGCGTGATAATCGGGAGGAGAACGTTAGAAGAGAGCGTTACGCTTGAGCGTATTCTAAATTACCCGAAAATGGAGCGCTCGAAGACGAGGCGGGAGGAGGCTGCCACTTTAATTAATACCTAACCGTGTTTCCGACAGCCTGTGGCTCTGCCTCCCATATCGCGCCGAGATCTGGGTCGCGGTACTCGAGATTAGATGATGACTTCGTAATTAACGAGGAGGGAGGATACCGTATTCGCGAATTAGGCTCGCGAGAGAAAAGACCGCGCGTGATGTTACAATTAAGGAACACGATTGGGGAAGATAATGTGTCCGCGAGAGACGCAAAGTAGGAACCTCGGTTTTGAAATCTTTTCTCGAGATTTTTATCTGTGTCATCCTGGGCTACAAGAGCAGAGCCAACGACCGAGATACTGGAACGACGTTGGCGCACTAATGGGCCCTAAATTAGCCAAAAACAAAGCCTCCGCCTCGGTACTACAGCCTGCTACCGACAGCGCTGCTTCTTGTTCCTCGTGCTGCGCGCGAATCTCTCTGATATACACATACACACACTTAAGATATATACATAAGTGACTGCGATAAATTCAACAATTTAGAACGACATTGGTCCGGCATTTTTCACGCTTTTGTCCTTGTCCAAAGATGTTAGGGGAGACCCGCGTTTTCCCGAGATCTTTGCAAACGTAACGTCCCGAGAATTCGTGGAACGGACACTATGTTAAGAGAGCTTCGAGGGCGTTCGCGATAGGTCGAGGACGGGACATAGCAGATATAATTGACATTCCGGCAGGTTCCTAAATTAGGCAGAAATAGGCCATTCCAGAAATGGGCGTGCGCCTAGGCGCTGTTACGTTCCGCCGACAGCGGAACAGCGCGCCGGTAATTTGTGACACGGTAGCTCATGCCGGGAGAGGGGGGAGGGGTTGCGGATTCGCGGGACACGGCAAAATACATTTACCGGCGACCGGTAGCTTACTTGGGAAATTTACGGACGCGCGAGCGAGCTCCAGCCTGGCGCCGTTGTCCCGCGTTGATTGAACGCGCGGTAAAAAATGGAACGATCCGATAAGACGAATAGGAGACACGTGGAAAAGTTGACAATTCGACTGCCGACGCTTTCGCGTGCACGTTCGAAATATCGTGTGCGCGGCATAATTCTCGGAAAATTGTGTATGCGCGCGATCGTCGCTCTTCCTCGCTTCTGTCGCTCTCAGTGTAATCTAAACGACAGAATCTCGTTTTTGCTATAATTGACTTTCAAGAAAATAAAACATGATTTTTCTTTTTTTTTTATCATGCTATTCCTGTTATATACTATCTTTCGTGATAAAAATTTTTTACCGGATATGAGTCGAATATAAGTCTAAAGATCCTCCTGCACTCAGAAAAAAGATAATAACATAAAGAAATAATTACTACAAGTTATGGTCAAGAGAACTATTTTTTTCTTAAATTTTACTATAATATGTTAGTGATAATAGTCTTATATTCATATTACTACTATTATTTTCGTAATAGAATAAAAGAAAGATATTGTTAGAGTCCAAAGTAACTATAATTTTCATTAGATCAATAATTTCTTTCTCCCAGCAGTGGAATTCCTGAATAACGAAACGCGCGTTATATCATTTTGTCGTACGATTTTGGGACAGAGATACGGTGATTCGCTGTACACGAACGAAGACACGGATCTACGTCCAATCATTTCGGTTAATATTTGCCTTGTGAGCTTCTCTCTAATCTCAAATATGCCTTTCGTCTAACTGGTTCCGTCCGACCGTCCGCGTGATATGAGATCTCCAGATCGGCCGATTGACTATCAACTTGCGATTAATTCGCCACTAATGAGCAGCGAATCCGCGCCTTGTCGTCCTATCTGATGATCGATCACTGGATGTTGGTCCTGAAATTGGCGGTTGAGAGACGACGAGAGAGAAAGCGGAAAAGGAGGATTTTGGACAGTGCCTCGCATTCACGATCTCCAGTTTTATGTCGATGACTCTGGCGGGACAATGGCGACAATGGCGGCCCTGTTTTCGCACGTTTATCGTAATACTCGGCCATTATCGACCACCACGTCGACGTAGTATCTCAAGTGTTACTGGCTCTTTTTTTATATTTGCGTTTTGTGGGTGGTATCGTTCATATCTGTAGTACTGGACGTAGTAAGCACTTATGAATATAAAGAATCAACTTTTTTGGTTCTTACATTACGAGAACGTACCTCGACATCGCGTTTCGTTATAGATCTGATCCAATTTCAGTGAACCAATTTTTTATACATTGTTGTTATACTCAAAATACGTAAATTTGTTTTTGTATATTTTGTAAATGCGTTGTTGCATTCATTTTACAAATATATTGAAGTAAATATAAACTATAAAGTATAATAAACAAATATATTGAAGTAAATATAAACTATAAGTAAATATAAACTATAAATTACTACACCGCGAAATAACTTCACAGATCGGCTGAAAAAAAAGGCGGAACATAACTCGGATCGCGAATCCTTGCCATGAATAACTTTTCGTTAGAAAAGGCCTTGTCGTTCGGGACAATCGTGATTCTGTTTCCACGTTTATCGTAATAGCTGCGTGGTCCATTATCGAGCGTGACGTCTCGAGTGTTGCGACGTCTCGCTGCTTGTTACTTTGTGGGTGGCATCGGCCTCCTTTTCTCGACGTTTCTCTGTACTGTTTCGCACGTTCTCGTGGGTATTTCTTGTCTTTGTGGTCGTTGATCCTCCATATTATTGCGTATTTTCCATGATTGCACACACAGAGTCGTAACTACTATAACACGACATAGTCGTTTAGATTTTGCGGAGCTCCTAAAGTTAAAATAATTTTTGTTTTAATACAAACTTTGCACAAGATAAATTTCTCATTAAACCTTAATATGCCTTCATTTTATTTAATATATATGAAAATGCAAAAGATATACAAGATGAAAGTACGTAATTGGAACCACTTCGATAATGCCGTAAATATTGATTTTGGTGAAAGTTGATTGAAATGAATATTGCAATTTTAAGGCAGTTATGCAATGTATTTTGTGCAGTAAAATTTTTTGTTGTTTGTAGTTTTCGAAATTTCCAGATCAACTTTAGTCTTTTTAAATGAAAGTCAATTTTTATTCTGTAATAAAATGTAGATAATATTAAAACAAATTCAACCATGTTGAATAATACGATCGTTAAACTCCTATCCGATTTATTATATTTGAAATATAACAATTCATTGTTACAGCTCCGAAGCGAAGTGGTTACGTGCTTCATCCTACATGTACTATGATGAATGTATATAGTATTCCATAGACTATATCAAAAGCAGAACTGCAGCTACTCTCTGCAAAAATGAGGGAACGTCATTACATGATAATTATTTGAATACAATATCACTCACTATTGTTCATATATATTAATTCGTGTGGCATTTTGGCGAAATGGAGGCTGCAAATCTAGGTTCTTGCCACTGGGGGCCAATGATTTTGGTTACGACACTGCGCACACAATCAGAACGCGGAGAACCGACACGGCCGCGCGTAGTTTGTATGCTAATCAGAACCGTGTTCCTTCCCATCCGCGCATCCTCGCCGCTATCCCCATCCTCCATTGCGGATTCTAACTATCGTCGACTCTATTTTCCATCGCGTCTTAGCTTAGCTTAGCGTATTCGCACTCTTGCTCAGCGCCACGTTTAGCACCGAACGCAGCCGTCCGAGATTTCGAGTTTTATTTGAAGATACGGCGATCGCGCTTTCGCTAGTCAAGAAACGCAGAGCGACCAATAAACATTTAACGTTAAATATACGGTTGGAGAGCGCGAGTTGTGCGATCTCGTATTTTCGTGGTAAATTCAGCGTTAAAAAGCGCCAGTGCCAGTTTATTGTTTACCGCAACGAAAAATTGAGCTTAATCGTAGAATTATAAAATATTAATTACAATTAGTACAGTAAGCATTGCCAATAATGGCAATAATAATGA